CCCCCCCGGCAGCTGGGGAGGTGCTGGCTGCAAAGCGCTGCCACTTTATACAGCTGGGGTTTTACAGGGTTGGGGGGAGGGGGGCTTTTATTGAACCGTGTTTGCATTTTTGGAGCTTTTTAAGAGACACTTTCAGCTGTGCGCGACCTGCCTGGAGCCACCTCCTCCCCGGTGGCCTGTGGGGCCATGACCCTCTTTTCAAACACTTTTCCTATGTTGCCTGTGCCCCGCCGGGCTGGAGAACGTCGGGAACGAAGGGTCAGCGTGCAGGGGGGTGAGCATCCCTGCGGCTGGGTGAGCATCTCCATGGCCAGCAGCACCGTGGCATCCCACTGAGATGCGGGACCTGGCCCCATGCAGAGGAACTGGCCCCACAGTGCTGCAGCAAGGGAGGGCCCAGGCCTGTGCCCAGCGTCTGATGGCAGGAGGCTGCAAATGGGGGCTGCTTGGGGAGCTGCACCATCCCCTCTGGGCAGAGGTGCAGGAGAGCTCGAGGTGCCGGGGGCACCAGTGCAGCTGCTTCCCCTCTTTAAGGGGCAAGTCTTGGGCCCCCCCCAAACCCCCGTTGTACATCCTGGGCTTGTTTTGACCCTGCGGGGCTGTCTCTTGCTCTGGGAGAGTGCTGCGAAGGGCTCACTGAAGCGCCAGCTTGCAGCCAGGGCTGTAGCCAGTGCCCGCTCTGTGCCGCAGTTCTCACTGGGAGCCAGCTCTTCCCTGTGCCTTGTGCTGTGGGAGCAGTGCCACGGCCACACAGGGGAGACCAGGAGCCCTGGGGCACCGTGCCGCCACCCTGTCCCAGGCTGTCCCCCACCTCCAGCCCCTCGCTGCTGAGCTGCGGCACACCGGCGCTTTGAATTCATCACGTACTTTTTTTTTCCTCTTCATTTCTTTTTTTGGGGGTGGGGGGGAGGAAGGGGGCGGGAGGACCAACCTGTCAATGTGGATGTTGGGTAATAAAACCTTGCACAAACCTCTGCGCGGGGCTGCCTGCACCTCCCTCCCCCGGGGCTGAGCGGGGCCAGGGGCCAATGGGGCAGCCCAGGGAAGGGTCCCGGGGACAAGAAGCCAGGCTGAGCCTCGTGGTGGCAGTCTCCTCCCCTCCAGTGCCAGCCTGGCCCGAAACCAGCACCTTGTGCTGGAAGAGGTGACCCCAAGCTGGCTGAGCCCCCCCAGGCAGATGGGTTGATGGCCACAGGACACTGTGACCTGCGTGGGACAGGTTTATTGCCAGCCTCTGAACACATCACCAAAGCAGCTGCCTGAGTCCCGCTCCGGCCCCACTGCTTCCTGCACGCCCGCTCACAAGTCCGTGGTGGTGAAGGTCGTATTGATGTACGCTGTTTTGGTGGGCTCCTTCAGGTTCAGGGCGGCCACCAGCACCTCCTCGTCGGTGGGGTCTGTCAGCTGCGCTTTGCCCTGCTGCAGGAGGAGAGCGTGGTCAGAGGGGATGGGGACAGGGACACTCCCATCCTTCCCAGGAGCTGGGGGCTGTCAGGGGGATGGAGAGGAAGCAATATGAGGGGTCCAGGAGCTCCATGAGGTGTCCACAGCAGAGAGGAGGGAACGTGGGGTGTGGTGGCAGGACTCCCTGCTGGGCGCCAGCAGCTCTTTGCACACTTACCATGGCCTTGAGGTTGTTGTCCCCAGGTGCATTTACTGTGTTTTCATCCAGGGAATTCACACTGTTGAGAGTGGAGGGTGGGGGGTAGAAGAGGGCCCAGGCACTGGCAGAGTGGGTACGCAGGGTGATGGCCTGGTGGCCTTTGGGACCTGCCTGCAGAGCTCACCTGGCCACAGAGCTGGAGTCCTCGTGGAAGCCCAGGTCGTGGGAGGGATCAAGTGAGAGGTTCAGCATGGGGTTGGCCCTGGCCAGGGATGGGTGGCAGGTGAGTGACCATCCCGTGGGGCTGTGGGGTCAGCCCGGGGCAGCCGTGTCCCCCAGGCAGGAGGGGTGTGACAGCAAGCCCTGCAGCCCCTGGGTGTGGGGACATGCCTGGGCGCTCCCCTCCTGCCTCAGGAGCCCCCCACTCACCCCTCTGCATTGTACTGGTTGGTCCCAGGGATGCCAGCTCCCTGTTGTGCCATGGCAGGGCTGAACGTCGTGGCCGCCTTCAGAGCCTTCATCGCACTCAGCTTCCTCTTGTAGCTGCAAAGCCCGGGGACAGGGTGGGTGAGAAGGGCAGGGGGAAGCTGGGCTGTGGGGTGGGGTGGGCACGAGCAGGATAGAGGGTAGGGAAGGGTCTTGGGGAGCCGGTGAGGATGGGGGCAGTGTGGTACCTCCTAGTGGTGAGAACCAAGATCAGGGTCATGATGAGGATGAAGATGAGCAGGAACGCTGCCAGCCCTGCGATGATGCCGATCAGCTCTGTCTCCCTGGTGGGCTTCACCACCTCCCCGGGGCCCTGGCGCAGAGCAGGGGTGAGGGCACAGCCCCGGCCAGCGGACTCCTCCCCAGCCCCACACAGGGCTGGTGCCCTCTCCCTGTGCCCCTTGCCCGGCCCCACTCACGATGACAGCCAGGCCCAGGTTCACCAGCTCAGCCAGGACCAGCGGGTCACACT